CTCACACTGGGACACACGCGCACCAAAGGTGGCAAATTCTCTTTAAAATGCGGTTTTCTAGCGAAGTTCTCCGCCCCGCGGCATCGCCCGTCGGCGGCGGGTTGGCGGAGGGACGGGGCAGAGGCGCAATCTGCGCTGGAATCTGTGCCAGCCCTTTTCCTTCGGCAGGCGACGGCTGGCTCTGGGGCGGGGGGACACGACGGCTCTTTTTTAAGCTCTCCCGTCCTCCCCCTCTCCCTCGGATTTCATAACCCTTCCAAGCACGAAAAGGCTCCTCCGGTTCCCGGCTAATGAGCCCCTGCGGCAGGAGGGAAGTTGGGCAGAATCTCCCCAGCGCAGGCGGGACGGGGCAGGGGGACACACGGAGGGGTCTCGCCATAACCCCAATTTGGCCGCTTCTCTCCCCAAAACGCCCCTTGGCACGAGGCTGCCCGGGATGGGACGTCTCTTTCTCCCCGTGCAGGCGCTGCATGCAAATATTTATTTGCACAGCGTCAAGGGGGTTAGTTATTAAGCCACAGCTGACAACTGTAGTCAAACTAATTTCTCTTAATAAGGCACTTGCGGTCACCCCGGCAACAGCACCCCGGAGCGTCCTCCTTTAAGGAAAATATTTACTGGCGTGAAAATCCGCTTGGATGCAAAGAGGGTGCTCTGAGGGGGCCTCTGGAGATGCTGGGGCTGGAGACACCAACTCCCTTCTTGGGAGATCTCCATCCCCGGAGATGGTGTCCAGAGGGAGGAAATTGGGCTAGAAGTGTCCATTTTTTGTGATATATGTATAGATACAGAGGTCACTAAAAGCAGGAGGGCATCTGAGGGGCTCCTTGCCTGCCAAGGGGAAAATAAAGGACGGCAGAGCTCGTATGTCCTGCTTTGGATTGGAAAACACAATGGCTGCTTTATCAAGTCCTGTAATTACAATACTAATTAAGGAAGGTGTGGGATTTCTGCTTCCTTGCGCTGACCAAGGTAACAGGTTAAACTATGCAGAGAAAGACAGCAGATTTCCCAACCCCAACCCCGCCCCAAAAAAAAAATAAAACAAAATTCCCCTGGTTTTTTTTTTTAAATCCTAGATGCATCAGTTTACCAAATGTTCAATCCAGAGTTTGCAAAACACAACTCCCCAAAACTGGAAGGAAGCTCCTTATCCCCTCTGAAACCCAGACCTAAACTCACACACTAAATCATCACGGGGTTTTTGGGGGGGTGTTTTACTGAACAGCTACATAGTGCTCCAACCAGCTGGGCTGGCCCCAGGGAAACCCACCAAGAACCCACCCCAAAACAAAGAACTCACACTGGGAAGTAGAGTAGGCTGTGATTTACTGGGACAACAACACTTCTGCAACAACAGAGAACACGACTGTGCCGAGGCACCCGACCGGTGAATCTGCAGCACCTGCAGCACCACTGAGCATTGCCACACTGGGGACCTCAGAGAGGTGACATCAAAGCAGACACTGGAGGGGTGCTCGAAGTTCTGGGGAACCCAGAGAGCTGACACTGAGAGCAAAGACCAGAGGGAAGCTCCTGGAGACATAAGAGAGGTGAAGCCAGAGGGATAATCCTGGGGACCCTGGAGACACCACACCGAGAGCAGAGACCAGAGGGATGCTCTGGGGGAGCACGGTCCTGGGGACCTTGGAGAGGTGACACCAGAGAGAGATCAGAGGGGTGCTCATGGTCCCAAGCACTGCTTTCCCTCCTGTGTCACCCTGGACACACAGACACGAGACAGAAGCCTGCTGGGCCAGGCAAGGCTGCTACATGCCAAGGGAGGGAGCAAAGGGCAGCGGGCTCCGGACGGGCTCCACGGGCACTGCAGCCACTCTCCAGAGTGTGTGGCATGCAATTCCCCCTGTAGGCACTTCAATCCCGGGACCCTGGCTCTGCCTCTGAAGCTCCAAAGGCACACATTGGCTGCAAGGGATCTCACAAACTCCTGCTGGGATTGCAGAGGGCCTGAGGGAGCCCAGCACTGTGTGGATGTGATGGGGTTTGGTCCCAGCCTCCAACTGGCCCGGATTGTTTGTGTGGCTGGGCTCCATTCTCCTGGCTGTGACAGAAGGGCTGCTCTCACATGCTCATTCCCAGCTCAGATTCCCTTTTATCCAGGAGACGAGCATGTTGTCAGACCTTTGCTTTCTCTGAAAGCCATCTGAGATGGCAGGAGCCAGGCAGAAGCCTCAGGAAAGCAGGGATTCGGGGCTGAGGGGCTGCAGCAGGGGCTTGGCAGTGATTCAGAGCTGGAAGAGGCATCTAAGCAAGGACAGGGAAAGTGGAGCGGGCCACAAGATCTGCTCTGGAGACTGGGCTTGGACCAGAGGATCAGAGGGAACTGCTGTAGGTGGAAGTGCTGATCTAGCTGAAAATAAAAAGCATCTACTGCAGGCAGTGGTAGGTTCCCTTCTAGGGCAAAATCCTGACTGCTGAGTGCAGGATTTTGCCCAGGCTGCTCTGGTTGCAGGGTTTGCTCTAATAAACACATACATCCCTGCAGCAGAGGAGTTGAGCTCCTTGGAGGCATTTCCTTAAGGATAAATCCCCGTTCCTGTGCCCTCACTGATCTGCCCAAGCCTCCCTCCTGCTCCTCTTACACACTGCCTGGGTTGTAGCACAGCAGGTTGAACTCCAGGTTCTCATCCCAGTGACGGAGCAGCACAAAGAGCTGCTGGGCTGCAGCTCTCACCGTGGCCAGGCTGCATCCCTCGGGGAAGTCCTGCCCGCTCAGCCACAGGCTGGCTTTGGCAGCCACCAGCTCCCACTCGATGAAGTAGGAAGCTGAGCTGTGCTCCAGCCAGGCCAGGGCCACAGCCGTGGCCCACAGCATCCCCTCAGGCTCCGTGTGCTGCTGCAGCTCCACGTCAAAGAGCAGAGCCTGGAGCTCGGAGCCGGCGGTGCCCCAGCCCCGGCCGCCGTCGGCGGGGGAGGAGAAGCTGCGGATGGTGATGGCCGGGGGGCACAGCTCCTTCTCGGCTCTCAGGGCTCGGGAGATGCTCTCGGCCGCGCTGCCCGACAGGTGCCGAAGGCGGCCGGTGTCCTCCGGCGCTGCTGCCCGAGCCAGGGCTCCAGCGCTCGGGCCCTTCTGCCCGCTGGGGAGCAGCAGCTGCTGGCTGCGGCTCGGGGTTCTGCGCTCCGAGGCGGGGCTGCTCCTCTTGCCGCTGTAGGAGCCGGAGGGGCTGAGGGACACGCGGTGGCAGGCAAAGGGTGATGTCCACTTCAGCTTCTCCATGGGGATGTTGACGGCGTTACAGAAGGCTGAATTCAGAAGGAAGGCACCGCAGGCCAGCTGCAGGGACACCTGCAAGGGGTGGTGGGCACAAAGGGAAGCTCTGGCACACCAGCCACTTGTGAATAGCTCAGCAAAATGGTGTGTATGGATGAAACAGCTCTCCATCTCTGAGCAGGTCACTGGACATGGTTGTCAGAGACAGCAGGAGGAAGATTTGGGGGATCTCCCTCTGCTCCCCTGCAGTGACCACACAACCCCAACAAGACCCAGGGAGGAGCTGCTCACCAGGGGAAGGTAGTCCATGCTCTCACTGTCACCCTCAGAGCCAGCTTTGTTCCCTCTGCTTGGAGATTTACTCATGAAGCCTTTGGCAGCTCGAACCAGCAGCATGGTTTTATTGAGGGTCAGCCTGTGAAAGGATGAAAAGGTGTCAGTGACCTCTGTGCTCATCCTGACACCCACCCTCCCCTCCAAAACCACCCCTGCTCCCCAGACACTGGCACCACACTCAGTCCTAGCTCCAGCTGCCACCCCTGGGGGTCCCTCCTCTCCCTCTGGCTTGTGTTCACATTGGACCCACACAGGTGAAAGGCACCTGCTGAGGTCAGAGGAAGGTTGAGCTGGCTCATACCTGGCAGCAAAGAGCCTCTCGATGGATTTTTGGGCTTGTGCAGAGGAAGCAGACAGGCTGTGGAGAGGCCCTGGGGAGAAACACAGTGCTGGGGTTACAAGGTGCCACAGGGGAGCAACAGGGAGCAGAGTCAGGGTCCCAGGACTTAGGCTTGTTTGGCTGCTGAATCTTTGGCAAAATTCTTCCTCTCCCCTTGCCTCATTTTTCCTATACAGATAATAAAATTCCTACACCTCTTAAAAAATAACCTGTGGGAGATTTATACCAAAAGCCACATCAGGTTCCATCCTTTGCACCTCAGAATGAGTCAGGCCCTGTGCTCACAAGCGTAGTTTTAGGTCATACATTTTTATAAAATTCCCCAAAACTCAGCAGAAGCCCAAACCACAGACTCGATGGAGCTGCACCAAGTGCCAGCAGCTCGTTCCCTACCTTCAGGAACACGGCAGTGCTCCCAGGCAGATGAGGACAGGGTGTTGGAGGGTGAGGGGCTGCTCTCCTCAGCATCTGCAACCGAGGAACCACATCAGCAACAGCACCCAGCCAAAACCAGCACCTTCCCTCCCACGGCACGATGGGGTTAATGAACCTCTTTGGGGCTCTGTTAAACCAGCTCTGGCTCTGACAGTGCCAGACAAGGTCTGATCCAACTCGTCTTCATTAGTGAAGGATTTGGTGACAAGTGAGTGTCTCACATCCCCCCTGCCTCTAATTACACTCGTTTCATCCTCCGTGCTACCCGCCGTACGGCTGCCAATTAACTCCCGAGCATTGTCAGCAGCACAACCTGCCATTTCAGGGGTTTGGGAGAAATAGGAGCTTCCATTCCAGGGTCAGCCCCAGTCTGTCTGGTGAGCACTGCATGCAAAGGGGAAGGCAGAATTTAAAAAGACCAGAGAAGGTGTCCCAAACCACTGAGATCTCTAACACCAGGAAGGAGATAAAAACCCAGGGAACCTTACTCATGCTGTTAAATCCATAGTCTCCGTTCTGGCCACATGCTGACTGAGGACGCCCAGGGGAACAGCCACGATGTCTTCTGCTTCCTGAACTCTTCTGTTTCCTCTGGTTGTCTTGCTTGGATGTTGCACCTTAGCACGAGAGAAGAGAATGGCCAGTGTTGGAGAGGGACTGGCACACAGATGATGGCAATGAAACTGTGGAATGAACTTGGTCAAGAACTGGAGTGACAGGACAAGGAGGGAATGACTTCAAACTGGAAGAGAGTAGGTTTAGATGGGCTATTGGAGAGAAATTATTTTATATGAAAGTGGTGAGGCCCTCACACAGGTTGCCCAGAGAAGCTGGAGATGCTCCCTCGTGTCCAAGGCCAGGATGGACAGAGATTGGAGCAGCCTTGGATAGTGGAGGTGGTGGCAGGGGGTGGAATAGGATGAGCTTTAAGATCTCTTCCAACCCAAAACATTATGTGATTCTCTGGTCATGTCTGGGTATCCAGACCTCAGAGCAGACCTTTTCCCTGGCCATGGGAAGAGGTTTCTGCCACCAAGAGCTTGGCCACAGTCTTAGGTATGGCTCTGGTGCCAAATTGTGCTGTGGCTTCATAGCACATTGTGACTTCATTGCCCTGAGAGACATTTATCAGTGCCACCTTCCCTGCCAGGAGAAGGTTCCACCCCTGTGCCAGCCCCACGTTACCTGTGTGGGTGTACTGGACCAGGGTGGGCAGGTAGGAGCTGGTGCTCAGGTCCACAGGCACGAAGGCTGTGTACTTGCTGATGATGTTACAGGCCTTGCTGGTGTGGACAGCGTTGAGCTGGAACCGTCGCCCAGACCCTGCCACGGGAGGGAGAGTGGGGTCAGATTCCACGGGCCCAAGGGCTCCCCCACCCCTCACACCCAGCTCCCACACCCAGCTCCATGCTTGGGGATCCATGCCCAGCAGGGGCTGTATCCCTTTACCTCTCTAAATTCTGCCTACTGCTACTCCTGCTCTCATTTTACAAGCCCAGATGCACTTCATAGAGGACAGGGTTGACACAGTCCAGTGTGGCCTAGGGCAGTGATGTGGCTCCTGCTGAAGTTGGATGCCACTTCCCAGCTCCAAGTGACCAACTCCTTAAAAATAACCATGTTACCTCATGCATGAAGCAGAGGGATCACAGAATCATGGAACATACTGAGTCAGAAGGGACCCTCAAGGATCATCAACCTGCTCATTGTCCAACCCCTGCTCCTGAGGAGTGGGAAGGAACATGAGCTCGGGAATAATCACATGCAGCAAGGCTGCAGAAGTAGCAGAGCACAAGGGAGCTGAAGAGGGCTGTTATTTAGGAGTTGTGTGAGACATTCTAATATTTCACCACCAGCAGCTTTTGTTTTCACTCCAGAGGCTGCTGAGAGTGCTGGAAAGCCTTCCCGAGGTCAGGCAGGGTCTGCCTGCAGCCAGCTGTGCATTACCATGCTCGATTTCACACTCCCTCTCGGCGAGCTGCTCGAAGTCCTGGATGAGTGACTTGGCTGCCAGGTGGTGGAAGGTCTCACTCCACAGGTCTGTGTCACCATCCTCCTGCCTCTCCCGCTCCCTCAACAGAGGGTGGATATCAAACGTGACTTCCCACTGCACGGGCTCATTGTTCCTCAGCCCCTTGACCACTGCCTTGCAGAGGGTCCTGGGGGAGCACGGGGAGCTGCAGGCAGTGCCGATATCCAGGTCCTGGGGCTCCCAGTCAGAGAAGGTCTCTGTCTCAAAGGTGAGGGATGGATACTGGGCAGACTCTGCAGAGAGGGGAGAGCAGATCATTAACCACCTCCCTGGGAGCTGAATTCCCCACTGGCACCACAAAACCGTAATTAATCCTTCCCAATTTTCACATGGTGGCACAGGGCGCAATGCAATGCCACCAGACCCGGCACAGACAGGCGAGGCTGGCTGTGCCTCCCCCTCTCCCACCTACCCAGATCCCCGGGGCTCCGGCTGTCTGATGAGGAGCACAGGCTCCTGATGGCATCGAGTGCCCCCAAGCCCCTTGCCGGGGCTTCCTGCAGCCCGTCGGGCAGTGCCAGGGCGGCGGCGTCGTGGCAGAAGGACACACAGCTGTGCTGGAGCAGGGCCGGGCGCCGGGCGCCTGTGCCACGGATCCTGGCGGCAGAGCCATGTGGGATGGCCGGGAGGGGCTGTGAGCAGAGCAGATGTTGGGGCTGGATCCGGCTGCAGGCA